AGATGAAGTGTTTATTTTGTTTGCAACTTACTTTCCAAAATTGTCAACAAAGGAAAAGTAAGTGTGTGTGTACAAAAATACAGATATACGGAAAGAGAGAGAGAGGGCAATAAAGCAATGTGGCAAAATGTTAACAATTGGTGACTTTCAAGGTTAGGTGGGTGCCCATTGTACTATTTTTTAACTTTACAAGCATCAAAATGTGTTTATTTAGTTAGTTGTAGTCTTTTTTAATTTTAATTTATTTTATTATACACACATGTGGGTACAACATTGATTTTGAATAATGGTGTACACGTGTAGTGGTTAGATCAGTATCATTAGCTTATTCGTCATTACAATACGCAATCATTCTTTGTGTCCATTGACCAAGTCCTCATTAGCACCCCCCCACCCTCTCCCCTCCCCTTTTCTACCCCTAATTTTCTAAAAGTTCAGTGTATTACTGTGATTGTTGTTTCTTTCTTTCTCTCTGTCTCTCTTTATTGTTCATTTGTTTATTTATGGATTCATCTCTCGGTTATGAGTGAGAACATGCAGTATTTCTCTTTCTGTACATGGGTTGTTTCACTTAGAATAATTTTTTAAATAAAAAGTTGGGGAAAATAATCACACCACAATTCAATTGATCAGCTGTGATGGGAGTTGTGAAAGGCAGTTCACAGAGTGAATCGAGGTCACAGCAGGAGGCCCCAACTTATTCTGGAAGCAGAGTGCTTCCCCGAGAGTGAGAGCAAGAGCGGCCTGTCAGCTGAAGCCTGAGCTTGCTGGGACGCTGAGGAGTGCAGGAAGGGGGCGAGGGCAGGCTGGCTGCGCGGGCAGGGGCAGGAATTCAGACTTCACTCAAGGGCAATGGCACGCCACCAGGACACCCTCTTCTGCAAATGGTTTCCTCCATTTGGGGAGTGCTCCTGGCCCCACTCAAAGCATGCGGGTGGGCCCCCACCCGGCTGAGCCCACCAGAGCCCATCCCTGGGATTTTTAACTTGGACCCAGAGAGTGATCATCAGGACCTTTTCAATGAGAAGTGAAGCTTAGGAGCTTCAGGTCCCAAATACCCAGAAACCGCTGGTCTGAGAAACCAGCAGGTCATCTTGGAGGATACTTACCCATGTCCAGCTGTCCCTAAGGCCCCTGGTGGCCCTCTCAGGATGGCTATATCAAGCCCCCTCCTTCCTAGACTGATTTGAATTGGTCACTGTCACCAGCAACATGTCGAGCCCTGGCTAATGCACCATGAAAGGTTCGAGAAGGGGAGTGACCTGGCCAGAGGAGAGCTGGGTGTTGGAGGTTGGAGAGCGGGTGCCCATTAATCTTCCCTTCTGGGTCATAACCGAGAGAATAAACAGGAACAACTTACAATTAAATGAAAATAAACATATAAGCTTTAAGTAAGGGTCAGTTAACAAAAGGGTGTAGACCCTGATCTTCACTTACATAAAGTTGAAGAATAGACAAAATTAATCTCCAGTGAGAGAGGTCAGCACGGTGATGGCTGCGGGATGAGTGGTGGCATGTGTCTGTCTGGTTCGGGTGGCAGGTGCACAGTCGTGCCCACGTACCATGATTCGCTGCACGTCACGTCTTTGCAGTTCACTCTATGACAATTTTTTAAAAATTTATCAGGCAAGTGGGCCGAGCCCGTGGCGCACTCAGGAGAGTACGGCGCTGGGAGCGCAACAGCGCTCCCACCGCGGGTTCAGATCCTATATAGGGATGACCGGTGCGCTCAAAGTGCTCACTGGCTGAGCGCGGTGTGGCCGGTCTCAACAAGGACAAAAAAAAATATATATATATCAGGCAAGTGGCCAATAACCACCATTAAAAAGGTAAACTATGGGCCGGCCTGGTGGCGCACGGCTACAGTGCGCCGCTTGGGAGCGCGGCAGCACTCCCGCCGAGGGTTTGGATCCCACATACAGACCGGCCGCTCACTGGCTGAGCGAGGTGCGGGTGCAACACCAAGGGTTGCGATCCTGTTGCCGTCCCAGTCTGGTACTACCGGGCGCGACACTGAGGGTTGCGATCCGTTGCTGGTCACGAAAAAAGACAAAAAGGAAAAAAAAAAAAAGGTAAACTGTAAAAAAAAAATAAGAAAAAAACATCAACAGTGCCTGAGACAATTGAACACTTCCTTGATCGTGTCTAGAGACTTTGCTCTCTGCTTTTGTTTCTTTCTGGGTGGCTGGCCAGTACAGGAATCAAACACTGGGCCTTTATGTTATCAGCACCATGCTCTAACTCCTGAGATAACCAGCCAGCCTGGTTTTGCTCTCTGACATCCTTGGTTTTTCTCTTTGAACCAACCTGAGTCAAAAGGCAACCAGTCCCCAGGGCAGGAAGGATGGGCTGTCTTGATGGCCACCAAGCTTGGAAGCTTGGAAGGGTAGCCTGGAAGTTTGGAAGGGTAGCCAGGAGGAGACCCGCAGCGGGTGGAGCGGGGAGCCGCTCCAGTCCCCACAGGAGAGGGCTACAGGAAGGGACTGTGGCAGTGGGGGAGGGAGCTGGCCTTCCACGCGAGTTAGGAAGTGTTCCCTCAGTGTGTGGGAGAGTCTGAGATATTTGGTAGAATTCACCATCTGGTCCTGAGCTTTTCTTTCTTGGGAGACTTTTGATGACTGATTCTACCTCTTTATTTGTTATAGATCTGTTCAGGTTTTCTAGTTCTTCTTGAGACAGTTTTTTCCATTTGTCTTTCTAAGAATTTTTCCATTTCATCTTGGTTATCTAATTTGTTGGCATACAACAGTTCATAATATTGTTATAATCCTTTCATTTCTGAGGTTGGTGGTAACGTTTTCACTTCCTTTTCTGATTTTAGTTATTTACATCTTCTCTTTTTTCCCTCAATCTAGCTAAAGGTTTGTTAAATTTGTTGAAAAAGAACCAGCTTTTCTTATTTTGATTCTCTATTCTTTTTCTTTTCTGTTTATCTGTGCTCTAATCTCTATTATTTCCTTCCCTCTGCTAGCTTTGGGTTAGTTTGTTCTTTTTCTAGCTCCTTGCAGTGTAGAGTTGTTAATTTGAGATTGCTTTTTTTTTTTGATACCTGGACAGTAAGGGGATCCGAACCCTTGACCTTGGTATTATCTGCACCACGCTCTAACCAAGTGAGCTAATCGGCCAGCTCCCTCTCCTTTTTTAATGTAGGCATTTTATAGCTATCAGTTTCCCTCCTAGCACTGCATCTGCTGCAACCCGTAAGTTTTGGTATGTTGTCCTGTTTTCATTTATCTACAAGTGTTTTCTAATTTTCCTTGTGATTTATTTTTTGACCCTTTGGTTGTTAAAGAGCGTGTTAATTCCACGTATTTGTGAATCTTCCCGTTTTTCTTCTGCTATTTCTAGTTTCATTCCATCGTGATCAGAGAAGGCACTTCACGGGATTTCAATCTCTTTCATTTACTGACTTACTTTGTGGCCTAACATGGGGTCTGACCTGGAGAATGTTCTGTGTGCACTTGAGAACATGTATTCTGCTGCCATTGGTTGGAGTGTTCTATATATGTTAGGTCTAGTCAGCTTTGTGTTTTTTAAATTATGTAACACGTGGCACATACATAAAAACATACGTGACATAGGAAGCGTGATAAAGTGAAAACCCATGAAGCCACGACTCACCTTGAGGACTAGAACCTCACCAACACCTTTGCTCTTCCTTAAATGCACCTGTCCTTCCTCCACAGGTGAGCACCATGCTTCGTGGATGCCCTCGCTTCCCGCTCTCACGTTAGCACAGCGTGAGCCCATTCCATGCACACTGCTTTTGAGCTTCATGAACATGGCACTGTGCAGTGCAAGATTTCACACCCTGCTCTTTCATCCCACAGTGTTTATGTTCATGATGGGGCACAGGGCTGTGCCCGTCATCACTCTGCAGTCTTCTGGCAGTCGCTCCTCAGTCATCTGTCCATCCTTCCAAGGATGGCTTCTGGGTAGTTGTCAGCCCTTCACTCGTACCAGTCTCCCCGTCTCTCCATTCCACCCAGGAGCACCCAGACTTGCCGCAGGCTGAGTGGATGGGCACCCCAGTGCCCAGCATACTGCCAGCTGGCACTCTGAGAAAGGAGGGGCCCTGCCCCTCACGGTGGGCTGTGGCTGAGGGTGCCACCGCCTGGCCCTGTCCCCCCATGTCCTCTGCCGCAGCATCAGGAGTGTTGCCCAGGCTGTTGCCCCTTTTGCTTTTCTCCTCTTCCATGCCCTCGGCCAGAGGGCAGAAAAGCTGAAAATAGGCTTTGTAAGAATCCCAAAAGGCACACCTGTGTGGTCTTACATGTGCATGGCACTCAGAGCTGCTGGGGCCCTGTGCACACTGGCACCTCCCTCCTCCACACCCCTCCGGCCTCTGGGCTCCCAGGCAGATGCCCTCCCCCCAGCGCAGCGTGGGGCAGGCCTTGGCAGCTGGCCCAGGATCTGGCCACTCCCCACCACCCCCACATTTCTATTTTTTCCCAGCAGTTCTCACCCACTGGATGAGAAGGCCTTTGGGGACAGGGCCTTGGGGCCCAGGACAGGAAGAGAGGGCAACCTGGACCCCACCAAGCTGGACAGGCAGATGGCAGCAAGGACACACCTCTGCATTCCCCTGGGGGCAGCAAGCAGAGGTCTCCAGGGAACAGAGCCCAGAACCAGTGAGGTCCCTGGCAGAGCTGGGGCTGCCTGACCACTGGCAGCTGGCTCCCAGCCCCAGGGCACACCCAGGGAAGGTGACATGGTGGCAAATGTCTCTCTGGGCCTGAGACACTTCACAAAATAGATCTCCAGCTGAAGCCAACTTGGAAAATTCCAGGGAAAAGGAAATTTACCATGGGGCAGAAGCAGCTGAATCTTGGCTTGGAGCATCCAGAACACGACGTGGGGCCCTAAGAGCCACCCACAGTTTGGCCTGACCCCCGGAGCCAGCACAGGCTTTGCAGGTGCAGAGGCCAAATTCCACTCAGGTCTCCAGCTTCCGGGGGAGACCGCAGGCTCCTCAGAGCACAAAGGAAGGACTAGGCCAGGCCCACCAAGAGGGAGTCCTTTAATAGAGATCGGCACAGACAGGAGGCAGGGGGAGCCCTGCTGCCGCAAGCTCGTGCTGTGAGCCTGCAGATGCAGTGTCTTCCTCCTCCTGACCTGGGTGTGGGCCCACAGGAAGGGGATGGGAGAGGTGGTTTTAAAAAACACAGCTGTACTAATTCTTCACTTTCACAGAAAAGGGGAACCTGGGATAGCAGCCCACTAGAGAAGTTTTACACAGAGCTGAGTCTGAGAGCCCACCCCGCCCAGCCAGGCTGAAGCTCCCTGTCTCGCTGCACCCCTCAGGGTCTCCCTGAGCCATCTGCTCCCGGGAAGGAGTGACACGCACAGGGAAGGCCCGGGCTGTACTCAGAGGAACGTGCTGACTTAAATAGCTTCTCCCCTCCGCCAGCTGCCAATGCTTGTACACTATGTACACTGTTGTGCTTTACAGCCCCCTCCCCCCCAACACCACACCCAGCAGGGCTGGGAGACAGTTCTAGGCTCCCTGAAGGCTGGGGTTCAGCGTGGTTTCAAGAACTGGGGCTGCTGGGTATGGGGGCTGTCTGAGCCGGAGGCCCAGGGGATGCAGCTGGCCCCACCGCACGCCTGGCTCTTCGAGGTCGAGAAGGTGTAGAAATGGAAGGGTCAACGCTGGACATGATGCAGGCCAGGTGGGAACAGGCAGGGGCGGAAGGACATGGTGCAGGGCTTGGAGACCAGGGACGTGAGGTGTGTGGACACAGCTGGGCAGGGGCGGCAGGGCACCTCAGGATAAACTGTTCTGCAGCAGTGGGTTTGGAGGAGGAGGGGGCTGGGCCGCTGGCCTGGGGGACCCTCTGACCAAGCACCAGCTGCTTCCAGTTCAGGGATGGGGCCGGTGCGGATGGCCCTGGCTACAGGTGTGTGTGTGGGGGGGAGGTTGGAGAGGACCACCGGGTGTCCTTTGGGGCTAGGTGTGGAGGGCAGGACCTTGGTGACATCTTGAGTGTGTCCCCACCAGGCTGGGGGCTAACACAGGATCAGTTGTTCTCAAAGAGAGAGAGCAGGTCATCATTGCTGTTTGTGGGAAGGTCGGGCGGGCCCAGGTAGGACAACAGCTCATCAGGGTTGGTCAGTTCTGGGAGCAGCTGAGGATAAAGCAGAGGCCATTAGCAGTTTTGGTCTCAGACCTGCCATGTCCAAGTGGCCATCCTGCCACTGCATCCCAGCTGTCCCCAGGCTCAGGGGGCATACTGAGCAGCCCCTCCCCGCCACAGGCTGGGCACCTGACCGCCTGGGACCTCCCTGCAGAAGGTACTCTGAGATCAGGAATAGCTCACGACACACTGTTCACCACCAGGACACAGGGCGCTTGCCCAAGGTGGCCCAGCTGCTCACGAGCACACTGGGGTGCACAGGCCCACAAGGGGATCCCCAGTGTGATTCCCCAGGGTGAATGCAGGTGGTAGAATTCCAAGCCCCTAGGGTTTTCTGCTTTGAGCTGCTCTAATTTTTTTCTTGTTGAACTTCAATGAGTTTCTATTCTGGTCCAGGAGCAATCAATTCTGTCTCTCATGCACTTAGTTTGGACTCGCACACCACCTGTGAGCCAAGACACAGAAGTACTGAACACATGGACGGGTCAATCAGACTCCAGGAACTGGGTTGTCAGCTTCCAGCCCTGTCTCCTCCGAGGATTCCGCACACACCCACCGCGGGCCCAGCCCGGCGCCAGCCCACACTCACACACGTGGAACCTTGTGCCCCACAGCTACTCCAGGTGCCCGGCACACGAACAAAAGAGCTGCATTTAGTTGACCTTGTCTGACCAGCTCTCCCTGAGGGGTTACCATCCTCCCTTCCATGAAGCGTGTGGGCTTTGGGGATGAGGGAAAAGCCATCTCAAGCCCTGGCTCCCAGTGCTGGTCAGGGTGGGGCCTGGTACTCACGTCCAGAGCTGGTTCTGGAGCCTCCCCTGCCCCAGACATGCTGGGGGGCCCCATCACGCCCACAGCAGGATTGAAGGTCAGCTCGCTGACAGGCCCCAAGCCTGCTTGGCCCAGGGGCTGTCGGGACGCTGGGGGAGGGTTCGGGTGGTGCAGCTGGGGACCTGGAGGAGCCCCAAGGTTGGGGGTGTGCAGCCCTGGTGCCCCAGGATTATGGACAGGGTCCAGGTGACCTGCTGGTGCCATCTGAGGATGGAGAGAAGAATTAGTTAAAACAGCCCAGGGGCAGGCGCTCCACTAGGGAGACAGGCCCCTCGGCCCCTCGGCACTGACCTGGCCCGGGAGGCAGGGAGCTGGCTTCTCTGGAGTCAGGAGGCTGCTGGGAATGTCAGACTGGTAGGAGATAGGTGGTGGCCCTGGGGTGAACTCAGCAAGCGTTGGGGTGTTGGGCGTGGTGGGTGGGAAAGATTCGGGGAAGGTACCGGGCCCTAGGAAGCTGGAACCTGTGAGAGGAGAGTCGGGTTTTGGGTGAGGGCAGGAAAGCTCACGCTGGCAGAGGTGCCAGGATGGAGGCTAGCTGTGGCATGGGTGGGACTTGCTAAATAGCAGCAGGCTTTACAGAAGTCACTTTTTGGAAAAGTGCATTTCTTCTCATCACTGCGAGGGGGCACTGGCCTCGGGACATCCTAGGAGTGGAGGCACCGCACATGCAAGGTGCGCGTCCCAGGGGGGTGCCCCAGACAGGGCCAGTCCACAGAGGTGCTCTGGCCAAGAGCCCCTTACTCCAGACCAGGGGAAGGAAGGGTGGAGGCCCCATAGCCTGTTTCCTAGGCCCATGGCTGGGACTGTCCCTTCACCACCATGTCCCTGAGATTGGACATGCAGGAGGACAGGCACGGTTTAGCTCAATACGTTTATTAACTAGTTCGTTGCCGGCATAGCGACACTCACAGGCGAGGAGACTGCTCTGGAGAGGACAAGCGTTTTGCCCAGGGTCACCTGAGGTCTGAGGCTGGGTCTGCTGTACTCACCCTGGCCGGGGTAGTCGCTGGGGGCAGGGGCTGAGGGGGGCTGCAGGGGGGCAAAGGGTGCAGCGCCAGGGCCCAGGGCGGCGATCATCTCCATCACGCTGGGCATGAGCACATGGGCAGGGCTCACGGTGCGACAGCGCTTCAGCACCGGCCCGTCTGGCTCCTCCTTGATGTGCACGTCAGGCTTCACGGGCACTGGTTTCCAGCTGCACGTGGGGTCGATGGTGATCTCCTCATAGTCAGAACTGGGCAGGGGCACGTAGGGGCTGGTCACCTCCTGCCTGGAACTTGCTGTCCCTCCCGGCCCCGGGAAGGTTTCCAGGTGGACCCTCTACTCAAACACTTGCTGCCCCCCAGCACCTTCTGTGTGCTCAGTGGGATGCTGGCACAAGACCAATATGCAGGTAGGACACACACGCCATGCCACATCTGGCCTGGAATCGAGCCCTCTCCATGGTGGAAAGAGGCTGGGAAGGCTGCCTTCAGCAAGGGGCACCCCCCGCCCCCCACACCCCCACCCCGTGCCTGTCCCAGGGCTGCCCTCTGGTGGCCACAGTTCTGGGGTTGCAGGAAGAGAACACTTACTTCTGAATGTAAATTAGGATGCCCAGCATGTACTGGTCCACCTCCAGGCCTTCCAGCAATGCTGTCTTGCTGTAGAAAACAAAGGGGACAGGGCTCAGCAGCCTTGCCCAACCTCCTCCTGGGCACAGGCCCTGTCATTTCTCAGCCTTGTCACCAGCATAAGATAACCCTGAGCAAGGCGACCCTGCATGAGGTAACCCTATGTAAGGCACTGTACGAGGTGACCCTATGCGTGAGATGACCCTACCCGTGAGATAACCCTGCGTGAGGTGATTGTACAAGGTGACCCTGAAAGAGGTAACTGAGTGAGGCCACCATGTACGAGGTCTCTGCCCTAAACTGCGCCATCCTGGACTGTGCTGCAACCCCTTCCAGCAGGCTGTGTACCTGGTGACACTGCTGGAAGTTTCACCCGTGAAAGCCTCTAAAGAGATGTACAGCACCTTCCCTGCCACATGTCATGTCTCCAACACTCACTTGCACACAGGGCACCTCCAAGTCCCTCGCTCACAGTTGAGCTGTAGGTACGACTCTAGGTCGAAGCACTGCAGAGAGATGGGGAAAGAGACCATTTTTCACAGTGGGCAGGGGCGAGCTGGCCACCATGTACGCGCATGTGGAAGACACCAGGTTTTTGCTGTAGCATCATTTTAGCGGATCAAGTTTGGGAACAGCCCAAGCAGCCCTTGCCGGGACTGGAATGCCCTTTGGCCAAAGCAGAATTGGGCAGCTGCGCTGATGGGGAACCACCTCCAGGGCATGTTCAAAGAGAAAACTCAGACACAGCAGCGGCCACCGTGGCCACAGAGGCTGAGGCGTGAGCGTGTCCTCGTCCACACACAGAGCACTTTTGCGAAGACAAACTGATGGTGGCTCCTCCTGGGGTGAGCAGGAAGAGGACTGTGCCCTGCATCCTCATGGTTTTTAAAACTGGAACACAATGAATGCAGCAGCTAGTAAAAATATGAGTAAAATAGTGATTATATTTAGAAGAAACAAAAGCCCAGTCTCAGGGCAGAGAGGAGGGGAGCCAGGCCCACCTACCCCCTTGTGGGGGGCCTGTCCTACCAGCCTGATGGCCAGGTGCTCAGAGTCCATGTCTGCCCCAAAAAACGAGGCTGACACAGCAGCTCAGACCAGTTTAACGGCAGCAAATTCCGGCAAATCTCTGCCGTGACCCCTACTTGTATGTGGCGACAGTCGTGACCACGGGCAGGGAGCTGGATCCTCCGGAAGGTGATGGGGCACTTCAGGGACACCTTGATAGCTGTCTGCTCCACCCCGTCTTCTCCATTGGGCCCAGGGGTCCCGGGGATGGTGCCGCTGCTGAAGTTCCGCTTTACTGACATTGACAGGGGAAAGGACTTGAGTAAAGGGTCCCCAAGACTGGGGAGGCTATGAATGTGGACTTCAACCAGGGTCACTGCTCAGTCAACAGCTCCAAAGGGCCACCTGGAGCTAACCATTGCCCCCAGCACAGAGCCACCTGCCCTAGAGGAGATGGCCTTGTGTGACATGGGGATGTGCCCACATAGAGCAGCAGTGTTTGACAGAGGCATGGCCTGGCTGCCCAGGGCTGAGGGGCGGGACAGCCACTCACTCTTGGTGATGCAGTGCTCAGCGGGCAGGAGGCGCTTCTTCAGGAGGCCCTGCAGCACAGAGCGCACAGACGGGCGGTGCACCAGCTGCAGCACGAAGAGGTGAGACTGCAACACAACAGGCAGGCACCGTCAGGAACGCAGCCAGGGCAGCCACACTCCTCGGCAGCTGGGCTCCATCCTCCACTGGGCGCTGACACACAGGCTCAGGTCACCCAGTGCACCTGCCAGCTCATGCCTGGACAGCTCTGCTGTGCATTGCACCTGCTGTTCACCCACGACCTAGTCCTCACCTCCCTGTCAAAGGCCATCTCCTGAAGTCCTCCTGCTCATAGTGGGTCTGAGTTAAAACCTCCCAAGTCCCACAGAACATGGCATGAAAGCTGCCCCATCTCCAGACCCCTCACAACTGGGCTGACTGGCGATACTCCTAAGCAGATCCTTTCTCTTCCAGCTCAAGGCCTGCCTGTGATCCCAACACCTGCTAGGACCCAGGAATGCCTGATCAGCTGGAGACTCGGAAACCCATGAGCTTTCTGCACAGCTTGGTTTCTCTTACATAATTAATGTGAGCATCAAATCTAGTAAATTTAATCTAACTGGAAAACAGCTAGGGTGTATTTAACTGGATCCCTTTTCTTAAAGGGCGAGGAGCACCGATTAAAATGGAAACTATAAGGTGAAGCAGCGCCCTTTTTCTGCAAAGATCAAGTCCCCACACCCTGGACATCCCACGTCCCCACACCCCGGCCATCCCACGTCCCCACACCCCTGCCCACAGCCCTATAGGGAACACCCAGGCAGCAGGTGACAGAGGTGGTGATCTGGATGATGCTGCAACCTGGCCCTGCCCCACCTGGGCCCCACCCCGCCCACACTCCCACTGGGGACACTCACACAGCAGCAGGCAGTGACGGTGATCTGGATGGTGTTGCGGCCCGGCTGGCATACGTGCTTCAGGTAGAGGGGCTTGTGCGAGGTCTTGTTGTCGCCACGCTCAATGGTAAGGGGTGTGGCGTTGACGCTGACCTGCACCGAGGCCGGCCAGTTGGTGTTCATCTGCCGGTCCTCGTGGTGGTAGCACTTGAACTGCAGCTCCAGGTCAGGCCTGAGTTGGGGAGACAGGCGGACACCCGGAAAGTGGGCACTGAGAGTGTGGGAGGACGGACCAGGGGCCGGGCGGGGGCCGAGTGGGGCTCACCTCAGCATCAGGGTCTTGTAGACCGAGTCTCGCAGCTGGAAGACATGGTTGCTCACAGCCAGGTTGTGCTGCAGGCGGAAGGGCTCCAGGACCACCCCGTCGCGCACAGGGAAAGTCAGCCGTAGCTCGTCACAAGGGCCGCTTCCTGGGGGCAGAGGTCATGCTGGCCGTGAGCTGGGCTGCCCCAGCCAGAGTGTCTTGTAGCCCCTCGAGGAGGGTGGCTGCTCCCCACCACCCTGACCCAGGGACTGTGGCAAGGGGAGCCCCTCCTGCCGGCGTGGCTGGGCCCTTGGGAGCATCTCTCCAGAGACCCGGTGCCAATTGTCATGGCGTTCCATCTTGCCTCAGTGTCCTGGCCTAGTGTCTCCTAAACTATGTCCCCCAACAAGGGAACACACCCCCAGACAGAAGGCCTTTCCAGTGCTTTTAGAGAGTCTGAGAGGTCGAAGGGTGAGGGGGCCACCTGCCATCGCCCTATTGCTCAATTTAGGTTTTAGGATCCCAACTCCTGCTGCAGTGGTCTCCCTGGAAGTAGGGGTTCTTAACCAGGAACGGACTTCAGGGGGGTCATAAATCCCCTGAAATTATATACAAAAGTTTGTGGCCATGGGAATCTTTCCAGAGAGAAGATCCATGGTCTCCAACAGATTCATGAAGCAGGCCACAAACAGAAAACACAGGTGAAGGCTGGGCGCTGAATGATTTAAGGTGGAACCCTTGGCTTTTCTCAGGAACCCAGCAGCGGCCCCCTGCCACCTAGCTCCCTGCAGAACTCTGGAGTCCTGGGACTCCCGCACACCCACCCTGGCCTCATCACCACTGTTGTCCCAAGTGTAGACAGACTCACCAGAGGGCGACGGGTGCAAGGAGCTGAGGCTGGGCTTGAGGTCAGGCAGGAAGGGAGACTTGACCTCCTGGCTTGGGGACATGTAGGGGACACTGCTGCTGGGGGTCATGGGTGGCGTGGGGTTCCCCGGCAGTGGGGAGCTGGGGTAGCCAGGGATGGAGCGGGCAGGCTGTAGGGGATGAGCACAAACAGTCAAGGCAGGATGGCAGGGGGGTGGAGTCTGTTCACAGAGCACCTGCTGGGAACCATGGCAACACAGGTGGGTAGGAGGCCGCCCCAGGGGTGCCTGGCAGGGCACACACGCTTCCTCTGGCCTGCGTGCTCCCTCTCCATACACCCACCCCATGAGCCTCCCTGCAGACCCCCTACCCCACTCAGGCTGGGCGGGCTGCAGCTGATGCCACCCCCGCTGAAGCTGGCACCCTGCCTGGTGAGCTGCTCTGTGGGCTGCGGGAGAGAAAACCACGTGTGCCCGGAGCTCCAGCCTGCTCCAGCTGGGCCCAGACTGATCCTAGAAGCCCACCACACCCATGGGCACTGGCCTCTCTGTTCTTCTTTATACTGTCTTGTATTTTTCAAATAATCTACAAGGAACATTACTGACTTCATAACGAAAAAATAACTGCTACAGAAAAAGAGGTGACCCCACACGTCGGAGGGGCTGAAAAGACACAGGCGCACTCGCCCCTCCCTCCCCAACTCCCTACTCCAACTCATCTTCCAGCTATACCACCAGCCGTCCAGGCCATCCCCCACCCCGACGGTGTGCACCACAGGCAGCAAGGGCCTGTGTCCTCTTCACTGGACTCCTCTGCAGCACTCAGAGGGAATAGGGACACTTTTCCATAAGGGTCATTCAAATGGTTTAGGTGCCTGCTGGCTGCTCCCAACACCAAATTTCCAAGATATACGAATCTCGCAGAGGGTCCTATTGGAACTGGACTCCCCACTCTGGGAGCTGCTCTGGCACTGGTTAGGACCCCTGGTGAGGCTCTGGGCCTACCCCTCACTCAGCTTGTCACTCCCTGAGGGCAGGACTGCCTCAGGGTCCCCTATGTATCCTGCTGCACATGGCATGGAGCCCAGCACAGGGCCCAGGAGAGCTGGCCCTACCTTGTAGTGCAGTCCCACAGGGCCAGGTGCGGACAGGGACTGGCCCATGCCCTGCTGCAGGGGCAGCCTGTGCCCGGGGTAGGATGGGGAGGTGGCAGGGGGCTGCCCGGGCGCATACTGGGCAGTGCTGGGCACGTACTGGCCTCCTTGCAGGTACTGCTGCCCTGGATACACCTGAAGAAGAGGCAACATGCCCGGGGGGAGAAAGAAAAGACTTCAGGGGAGTCGGTTCCCAACAAGAAAGCAGCATCCCATGTGCTGGAGGGACAGGGCCTCCCTGGTCCCCGTGGGGACCCTGCTGCAGTGTCACTGAGCACAGGCAGTTCTCTCTCATGTGCAGAAGCCCACTCTTACCACAGCTCTGAAGGACACTTGGATGAGGGAGTCAGCACCCAAGGCCCAGCTGGGTGGCCTGGACACTCACCTCGGAGTAGGCTCTCTTGACCCCCTGACGGGGCAGTGGCTGGGCCTGTGGAGGTCCAGGGTACCCCTGCTGGGGTAGGCGCTGCCCTGCGTACAAGGGTGCCATGCTTGCTGCCCGGGTGGGGTTCATGGCCATAGGAGAGAGGCCAGCAGGGCCCATCACCCCTCCCATGCCAGTGGGGTTCATGCCAGTGGGGATGCTGGGCCCCCGAGGACCTCCATGCTGTAGAAACTGGCTATTAAAAGACTGTCCGGCCCCCATCTGGGAAGAGAAAAAGGAGGAATAGTCCAGGCCCCACCCACAAAGAGCTCCAAAAAATGGGTGTACTGCCCCCCTGCTGCTGTGGGCACCATACCCCCTCGCAGGCTGCCCAGGGCCCTGTCCCCTCAGACCCTCCCTCCTTCCCACCCCTCTCTCTTTCACTGGCCTCACAAGCCCCCAGCACACTCCGTACCTGTCCCAGAGTCTCCCTCCCAGTTCCGTACATGCTGGTCACCTTGCAGGAGGATTAGGGGGACTCACCGCTCCATACTGGCTCAGCTCCTGGCTCTGCTTCTCCTGGAGGGCAGCCACAGTGGCTGTGGCCGTGGCCGTGGCTGTGGCAGCTGCAGCAGCAACAGCAGCAGCAGCTGCTGCTTGTGTGAAGTCAGTGGAGGGTCGTGCGGTGTGTGAAGGGAGGCCCAGGCTCCCTGGGCCGCCTGCATACCTGCAAGAGACACAGGAGTACCATGCTCTCTGTGTGGGCTCATGGGGGCCAGACCTGCTCATGCAGCACCTACGGGGGAGCCCGTTCTTTCTAGACCCTCCACTGCAGCTGTCTGAGCCAGTGGGGAAGCAGAGGCAACGTCCAGCTGATCAGTGTCCCAGTTCCGAGGTGCCCACCAGCTTCCTGGCTCCTAGCACACCTGCTAGGTGAAGGGTCCTCCTTACCCGGTGGTGAAGCTGGGGCCCCCAGGGTAGCCCCCACGGCCATACACGCCTTGCTGCACGTAGCCTTTGCTGGCACCACCTTCAGCAAACGCCTGCTGTCCGAGACACTGAGGGGAGGTCAGGGCAGAGCTGCTGCCTGCCACGCCGGGCATCATGGAGCCACCAGGGGGGCTCCCCGCAGGGCCCATGGGATTCCCCAAAACCTATGAGAATGCAGGAATCACCAAAGGGAACCAGCCAAACAACCTGCTTCAAGCAGCAGCTCTAAAGTGCTAGAAACCAAGAGGCCTGGCAGGTGGTGGAATAGAAGGGGGAGGGGCTGGGAGAGCTGCATGGGGAGTAGGGAAGCAGCTGCTCCCAGGTCAGGTCAGGGTGGTCTGTGGAGGCCAGATGAAGCTAGAAGAAAGTCCCGTGGCAAGTGTGGAAGGAGAACCAGTGCCCGAGAACTTGGGAGACTCAGGAAGCCCTGGCCTCACCTCTCGGCTGCCCTGGACTCATGCCCCAGCCTTCCCTCTTGGCCACCCAGAGCTCTAAGAAGGTGCTAAGCACCACCAAGTGCTTCGAGGCTCTGGCTGCTCAGGAGTGGGGCCCAGGTGGGTGCTTACCTGGCTCTGGGTCGCGTTGCTGACTCCCCACACAGTAGTGACCACTGACAGTGATCCAGCTGGCTGAGTGGCGCTTTGTTGCCAAGGCACAGACTCGTAAGCGAATGAACCATCACTACAGGGGAGAGGCTGATGAGGCCTGGGTCAGGAGGCCCCCAGTGCCCGAGAGCCCAGGACCTTCCAGCAACGCCTCCCCACCCAGGGCCTGAGAGGGGCAGAGAGAGGAGCCCACGCTCACCCGTGTGGTGCGGGGGGCAGGGCAGGTTTCATGGGGTTCATGGAGTTCATTGGCAACGGAGCAGCCTACAGGCCGGGTCTGACGGTGCTTATCTGGGACTCAGCTGCTCTGGCTGCCGGACAGGCAGGAAGGGATGTTAGCTGAGGTGCAGTGGGCAGCCCCTTTCAGCAGGGTGGAGGCTGGAGGGAGCCCAGGGCAGTGTAGGGTGCTGCCCACTGTCCACCCCACCTACCCTGGCAAACCCCTGCCCTTGCAAAGCCAGCAGGGAAGCCAGCACAAACCCTTTCTCACCCAGACCCTGCCACCCAGGCCCCTGGATGAACCCCGGTAACAGGCTTTCTCACTCCAAACACTTTCTATCTGTCCACCCCACCTACCCTGGCAAACCCCTGCCCTTGCAAAGCCAGCAGGGAAGCCAGCACAAACCCTTTCTCACCCAGATCCTGCCACCCAGGCCCCTGGATGAACCCCGGTAACAGGCTTTCTCACTCCAAACACTTTCTATACTCCCCCTCCCCACCAAGGCCTGGAGATGCAAAGTCAGGGAGAATCTAAGACTGGGGTTACAGAGGACTCGGTTGCCAGGAACCCCTCAGAAGACCCTGAGGTGGGAGAGAGGGCCAGTCAGGGGGATACCACCGGTGCAGGGTCTTGCCCACCCTGGACAGCCCACATAGCTGGGGAGGGGATCTGGAGGCCAGGGGCTGAGAAGGTCAAAAGGGGAGTGCAGGGGTACGGTGGGCAGCTGCCCTTAAGCCTGGCCTGGGGCAGGGGCACATGGGATACCTGCTGGAGTAGGGTGAGGGCCACAGCCTAGCCCCTGGCTGGCAGCATCCTCTCACCAAGAGGGCCCTCTCCTTTCCAGATGAGGGGGACCTCAGAACTGGCCCAGACTGCACCAAGAGGGGCTGCCTGGGACTGATGTGCACAGGGGCCAGGAGAACCAACCCCCGACCCCTGACCTCAAGGCCCATCTGTGACACCCATAGCAAGTTCCCAATAGGAGGAGGGTTGGTGAGCACAGCAGAGACCACGACACAGCTGGTGTTTACAAGCTGGGCGGGGTGGGGACACTGAACCATCTCCGCAAGATGGGGCTGAGTGGACAATGGACTTGGTACTCGGGACAGGGCAATAGTGGCAGCAGATCGGGAGAGGATGAAGTGTGGCCGCCCATAGGGACAGCCTGCTGACACCAGGGGACTTCTCCCACTGTGCCAGGTTTGCTCTCCCCACTTAGTAAACGAACCACATAAGTGACCAGAAGTGACCACACCTCCAGGCTGCTTCCAAGTGCCACCTGTTCCAACACCACAGGCTGCGGGCCCAGACATCCGCCAGGACCCTACTCCTGGACTGTCCCCAGGGCCCTCTCTGGTACTGCCTTGTGTCCTGACACCCCTAGGGCCACCTTCCAGGTCCACCTCTACCCACTCTGACCACAGAGGCACACTGGCTGCAGCACTGGGTGAGTGAGAGGCCGTGTGGCTGGTTCTTGGGGGGTCCCCAGGGGAGGCCAGGGCATGTTCTGTCCTGGACATCACTGCTGTTTAAGGGCTGCAAGGCTGCCAGACACACAGATGTGCCACCCGAGGCATGCTGACCTCTGATGGCTTCCATCCTGCCACTCCAGCACTCACCTGGCCCAGGAGAGAAAGGGTGACCCCAGCACCCACCTAACCCCAGCTGGCATTCCTGTGTGTTGGCCAGGGGCCTCACACGTAGCTCAGCACCAGTGGAGGTAGGACCATCCTCATTCCCTCCACAAATACAGACCTGGAGGCTGGCAGAGGGCCAGCCCCGAGCCCAGGGCCCCAGGGCAGGTGAGAAGTAAAGCAGGGACCGCAACTGGCCCTGCCCTGGAGGCCTGTGTGTGTGTGGACTTCCACTGGTCCTCACCCACCCCAGCACTGGGACTGGGAGGGGAAGGGACCAATTAGGGGAAAGGGAAAGGGAGGAGGTCCAGGAAACGCCTTCAGGGGAGCCAGACAGGATTTCTGGCCCCAAGGCTCCTCTCCCCGACACCGAGACCTGCCCAGGACGCAGAGGCCAGACAAGGCAAGGGCCAGCAGCTCCAGAAGGCTCAGGACACCTGCACCTGTCCAGGAAGGCTGGCATCCCGGCCACAGCCTGCCTCTGGGATGGTGACACTGGGGGAGGGGACCTGCCAACAGCCAAAAACTCCTCCTCAGACCTGTTGGGTGGACCCTGGAGCAGCAGCGCACGGATTCCAGGATGAAGAATGGAGATACGGCAATCAAAACTGGGTGCTACTGAGAGACAGAACCATGGGTCAACAGAAGAGACTAGAGAACCTGAAAGAGACCCTCACAAATACGCCTAAGTGACATCTGACAAAGTGCAGAGGCAGTTCAGTGCAGGAAGGAAAGCCTTTCCAACAATGCGCTGGGACAATCGGACATCTGTAGGCAAAAACCAAAAAGAGCCGCCTAAACTTTGCACCTTATACAGAAATCAACTCAAAATGGCTCATGGATTTAAAAGTAAAACGCAAAACTGTAAAATGTTCGGGAAAATACATAGGAGAAAGTCTTTGGGATCTAGGCCAGGTCAGGCAGTGTTCTTAGACTGGACACCAAAAACATGATCCACAACAGAAAAAAAAAAAAATAGATAAACTGAACTTCATCAAAATTAAAAATTCTTCCTCTGTGAGAGACCATGATAACGGAATGAAAAAACAAGCTACAGACAGGAGAATATTTGCAAACCACATATTCAACAAAAGGCCAGTACCTAGGACATATATATAATTTTCAAAACTGAGGAAAAAATCCAATCACAAAATAGGCAAAAAAACGTGAAGAGATACTTCACCAAAGAGGATGTACAGATGGCAAATAAGCACATGAAGAGAGGCCCAGCACACTAGTCGGTAGGGAAATGCAAATTAAACCCACAATGAGATACCACTATGCATCTATCAGAATGGCCAAAATAACATCACTAAATGCTGGCAAAGAGAAACTGGATCTCTCACACGTTGCTGGTGGGGATGTAAAAGGTACAGCCACTCTGGGAAACAGTGTGACCATTTCTTACAACACTAAGCACATAGCTACTGTACTACGACCAGCATCTGCACTCCTGGGCATTTATCTCAAAGAAATGAAAACTTGTGTTCACATAAAAACCTGTACACGAATGTTTATAGCTGCTTTATTTGTAATAACCAAAGAATGGAAACAGCCCAGATGTCCTTCAATGGTACATCCATAAAAAGGAACCAAGTACCAATAGACCCAACAACCTGGATGAATCTCCAGAGGATTATACTGAGTGGAAAAAGCAACCCAAGAAGCTACATACGGTGTGATTCCTTCCTTTGGCATTCTCAACACACCTAAATTGGGGAAATGAGAACAGACTGGTGGTTGCCGGGGTTAAGCCTGAGGGGAGGGGAGAAAGGCACTGATGTCTCCTCCACTGCTACAGACCTGGCAGCAGGGAGGTGGGTGTGAGCACAAGGCGGCAACAGGCCCCTGAAGTGTATCAGTGCAGCCTCCTGGTGTGCTGCCCTACTGTGGTTTTGTAAGATGTTACCCTTGGGAGAAACTGGGTAAAGGATACAAGGGACTTCTCTGTGTTATTTCTTACAACTGCATACGTATCTACAATTATCTCAAAACAAAAAGTTTAATTACAAAACTGCCACCAGCTCTCCCTTCTGCAGAGCTGCGGTGACAATCCTTCCTCAGCCCAGAGAGGGTTGATTGGCATGGCCCCTTTGCTGTCCCAAGAATCAAAGAACAACAAAAAGGGAAGCAGGCAGACAAGTAGGCGAGCCACTGCCTAGAGCTCAAAGGACCTGAAGGATGGTGATCCATGCAGAACTGTCCCATTTCAGGTCACCTAGGGCAGCAGCTCCCCAACTCCAGGGCATCACAGTTACTGAAGCACTGGTGATGGCAGCTGGTCACACTGGCGGCCCAGCCCCACCTCACATCAGCAGGATGGGCTGGGGCCGAAGCCCTGCACTTCTAACAAGTTTACAGGTGGTGCTGCTGCTGGTCCAGGAACCACTGTCTGAGAGCCTGGAGTCTAGGAAATGCAGACAGCGAGCAGAAGAGAGACAGGACAAGGGAGGGGCCCAAAGCAACCTCCTCTGTCACATGGGCCTGGGGAATTCCACCTCTGATGCTCCTACACTGTGGACAGAGAACACAAACATTTCCAGTTCCTCTACTTCTCCTTACTGCACAGGGGATTTCCTGCCAAGCTCCTGAACTCTCCTCTCTGGTCTCTTTTCTGAGGGCAAATCTCTCTGGGAAGACCCCCCACTCTGCAGGTCTGGCATCATCTGACTTTCTGCTCCTGACCACAGGGAGTTGTTCTTTTTTTTTTTTTTCCTTTTTGTCTTTTTTCGTGACCAGTAACAGGATTGCAACCCTCGGTGTTGCGCCCGTACCGCGACCAGCAACAGGATTGCAACCCTCGGTGTCGCGCCCTTACCACGCTCAACCAGTGAGCGGACCGGTCTCCACATGGGATCCGAACCCTCGGCGGGAGCGCCGCCTCACTCTACCGAGTGCACCACCGGGCCGGCCCCACAGGGAGTTGTTCTGAGAGTATAGACCCTCCTCCCACCTCCTGGTTCTGAGGCAGGGCTGGGAATTAGCTGATTATGCAAGGTCTTGCCTGCCTGGGGGCTTCCCACCCAAGGCTCTCCCTATGTATTAACTCCAGCTGGAAGTCAGGAGCCCTTGACAGTTGCTCTGGCACGAGCTCAGTGTAGAAGGCCACATGGCTTTCTGGGAGTTGGGTCACATCTTCCTCCAGAAGCAGCTACAGAAAACTTACTACCCAGACCCCTCTTCCCCAGGTGTCCCAGAGCAGCTGCACTCGTGGCTCTCCTGAACCGATCCTCCTGAGCCTCACTCCATCCCACCTCTCCACCTGCCTGATCACCTAGAAGCAGGACCTAGCAAGTGGCCCAACTGCAGTAAGGCAGTCCTGCAGCAGGCAATACCTCCCAGCAGGCCACAGAGCAGCACTCACTGCCTCCAAGGCTCCAGGGTCAGGACCAACCCGAGGGGCG